TGCAAAGCTTACTCAATTCCTGCAAGTGTTCCAATTGTCAAATATTGTCGATGATACCAATAAAAACAATAACCCCTGCATTGTGCAGTTGAAGAAAACAGGTATGAAATCGTCCAGAAACTATTATTGAAAAAAGTGGGGATTAAATATAAATGTGCAGAACGAGGACGGTGAAATGGCCCTAAAGTGGTGGCCAAAAGAACTATGATCGACTGATGCACTTGCTCCTCAAAGCAGGAGCAACCAGCGATGTTGTCAACAAGGAAGGTGAAACATTTCTGGATATCGTTAGAAAATTGGCAATTCGAACAGAAATCTGCAAAAACAACCTCCAGGTAGATATATCTAACCAACCGGGACCATCTCGAATAGTTACAGGTAAAATTTAAAGTGTGGTCTTATCTTGAATTATCATAATTATAACTTTCCACACATTTATTAAATTTTGTATTTAGGGCAAAGTGAGGAGCATCAAATAACAAAAGTTGACAAAAAGGATACAAATCCTGCAATCAATAAGAGGAAACGATTAGCGTCTCCACCTTTATGGGACAAAAGTACTAAAAGAATCCATTCAGCTAACAAGAATTGGTCGTCTTTGCACTCTGCGGCACACAGCGGAGAATTAGTAAGGGTTCGATACTTGGTAGGCCTCGGTGTCGAAATAGATGCCAAATATAAGAACAACTTGACGCCACTCCATTGCGCAGCTATGAATGGATTTCAAGATGTAGTTCAGCTATTGATCGATAGTGGAGCAGATATAGAAGCTATCGATGATAAACGACGGACACCATTGCACATTGCAAATGAATATGGTCACTTGCAGGTTATGCAGTTTCTGATAAGTAAAGGCGCTAATGTCAATGCTGTTAATAAAACAAATAGAACTCCATTGTACATTGCATCTAAAAATGGTCATTTGGAGATAGTACAGTTTCTAGTTAGTAAAGGCGCCAATGTCAATGCTGTTGCCGTACAAAGTTGTACTCCATTGCACATTGCATCTCTAAATGGTCATTTGGAGGTAGTGCAGTTTCTGATTAGTGAAGGCGCTGATGTCAATGCTGGTGTTAAAGGATATCAGACTTCATTGTACTTTGCCGCACAAAAGGGTCACTTGACGGTAGTGCAGTTTCTGATTAGTAAAGGCGCTGATGTCAATGCTGTTAATAAAGAAAATAAGACTTCTCTGCACATTGCCGCCTATTATGGTCACAAAAATATAGTCAAAGCATTGATAGACAAAGGTGCAAACACTAATGTAGTAGATCTCAATAACGAGACCCCAATAAACGTTGCCTACGAAAAAGGGCACATGGAAATCGTCAACTTATTGCAAAATTATGGAACTCATCCAAATAATATTTAGTTACATGCTTGAACCTAACTTTTACAAAATAGTGGTATAAAGACATATTACTAAAACTGCTGTGTCATAAAAAAATTACTAAGCTTCTCAAAGATTTATAGCAACCTATGTATTTCAGAACTAAATATTGTAGTATTTTAATAAATAATAATATTAACCGATATGTTTATGAAGGTTCTTAACAAAACCAAAAAGTGTTGTCACTAGATAAATATGTGCATATATAGTAAATTTTATTGGCTTTATAATATAATGAAATGATTGCTAGTTCTGTTATAAAAATAAAATATGAAAATTCCTAAAACTATGATTGTATTTTCTAAGAACTGATTTTCCAGTTTCAAGTTTGAAGCAAAGCTTCTTAAAATATTGCTATAATTAGATACAAATTAGAAAAATTAGAAATTATACAAAATTTAATAATCTTTTCAGCAATATATGAATGTTTATATATACTAGCAAGCCTTAATAAAATGTTTAGAAGAAACAAGTACAAGAGCATTTTTTTTAATATCCAAGTTTCGCACGAGTTTTTGCAAAAAAATTGTACCAAACATCAAAGTTTGTGTAAACAAAAATTTTAGATGGCTTAATAATCTTTTTAATAATATTATTATTATTAAAAATATAAATGTGTTACTTAAGACTGCCTTAATAAAATTATAGTGTAATTTTTAGCAATTTCTGAAAAAAACTTGGATGGAAGAAGTAAATTTTGGAACTATTTGTATAAGTATATATATATATATATATATATATATATATATATATATATATATATATATAATTTTTAAAGCCTGATTCGACTTCTTTCAAATTTACATTTCAGCAAATTATTTGTAACTTGTACCAGGCGTAAAAAAGAGCGTTTCTTTTGCAAAATCAAAACATAATAAAATTTTAATTTTAGGTTTGCTTTATATTAGACAATATTGTAGATAATTTAATTTTCAACAAATTTCCTAAAAACATCATTCATATTAATCGAATGGGTTAAAAGTTACACAAGATATTGTATTTACTCTTAGTAGTATTAAAGTATCAAGCTCTATATGAGCGTTTAATGCAATTTTAGAGTATACCGAAATGTTCTAGAGTTTTATATGTTTAAAAGAATTTACTGATAATTTTATTTTTAATATTTTTCTCTAATACAACATTCACATTAATCGAATGATTCAGAAGTTACAAAAGACAGAGTATTTACTCTTAGTAGTATTGAAGTATCGAACTCTATATGAGCGTAATGCAATTTTAGAGTATACCGAGATGTTCTAGGGTATTATATGATTAGAAGAATTTGTTGATAATTAAATTTTAAATATGTTCCTCTTATACAAGATTCACATTAATCGAATGGTTCAGAAGTTGCAAAAGATAGAGTATTTACTCTTAGTAGTATTGAAGTATCGAGCTCTATATGAGCGTTTAATGCAATTTTAAAGTATACCGAGATGTTCTAGAGTTTTATATGGTTAAAAGAAACTGCTGATAATTTAATTTTGAATATTTTTCTCTTATACAACATTCATATTAATCGAATGGTTCAGAAGTTGCAAAAGATAGAGTATTTACTCTTAGTAGTATTGAAGTATCGAGCTCTATATGAGCGTTTAATGCAATTTTAGAGTATACCGAGATGTTCTGGAGTTTTATATGATTAGAAGAATTTGCTGATAATTAAATTTTAAATATTTTTTTCTAATACATCATTCAGATTAATCGAATTGTTCAGAAGTTATAAAAGATGAGCATTTACTCTTAGTAGTATTAAAGTATCGAGCTCTATATGACCGTTTAATGCAATTTGAAAGTATACAGAGATGTTGTAGAGTTTTATATGATTAAAAAAATCTGCTGATAATTTAATTTTGAATATTTTTCTTCTATGCAACATTCACATTAATCGAATAGTTCAGAAGTTGCAAAAGATAGAGTATTTACTCTTAGTAGTATTGAAGTATCGAGCTCTATATGAGTGTTTAATGCAATTTTAGAGTATACCGAGATGTTCTAGAGTTTTATATGTTTAGAAGAATTTGCTGATAATTTAGTTTTGAATATTTTTTCTTTAGACAACATTCACATTAATCGAATGTTTCAGAAGTTGCAAAAGATAGAGTATTTACTCTTAGTAGTATTGAAATATCGAGCTCTATATGAGTGTTTAATGCAATTTTAGAGTATACAGAGAAGTTCTAGAGTTTTATATGTTTAGAAGAATTTGCTGATAATTTAATTTTAAATAATTTTTATTGCTGTAGGTTATTATAATATTAGACATTATAATATATATTTTAATTATAATATTTTTCTCTAATAAATCAGTCATACTAATCGAATGTTTTAGAAGTTACAAGGCTTTTAATTAACAAATGCACCCCAGCACTTTTGGTGCTATATATACTACAATGGGACAATTCCAAACGTTTCCATTTCATTAAAAACAAAAGTTTAATTCACTCTGAAGAAATTGCGTGATCTTTTTCCATATTATTTCTTTCTTCAGTCTGTTTTGTTATTTTATATATGGGAAGTGAATTACTTTTACTTTTATTCAACAAGAGAGATACTGTTAGAATAACAATCGAGGCATATACATAGAAAAAAAACTGAATAACTGTATTTATAGTCATGAATAATAGATGAATGAGGTGTTAAATAATACATTTGCTTTGGAATGTGATATAGTAAATATATTTTGTAGTAATATTTTATAGGAACATAGCAATTTGTTCACTTAGGATTTAGGATTTATTTTATTTGTACTTATTTATTTGTGTAGTTTGAGTCAATAATTTTGCAACATTTTGTTAAAATCGATTAAATTTAGACCAACACAAGTTGTGTAGAATTTTATTAGATTTTTAATAATGTACTACAGTTTGTAGAGGTTTTTTTAAATTTTAAAAATATTTAAGAAGATCCAAAAAAGTGTCCAAAAAAGTAGTGGGGGAAAGTTCCCGATTGCCGGACACCTAAGGTTATTTATAAATAAATCAAAAAATATTTTACGTAATGTTTATTAAATTATGATTTATATTAGATAACAAAGTTAAAAATCAAACAGAATTAACAAAACCGCAACGTTAGCTAAAAAATAAATAATACTATCAATCAAACTTTGGTAACAAAAAATATGGTTTTAAAAAGTGGCACCTAGTACCGGACATTTCAAAATAACCTGCATTGATCACTTATGTAGCCATCTCTACACTCTGTCTGCACTTGTGTGTTTGGCGAATATTCTTAAATATTGCAAAAAAGTCACTATTCATTCACCCTTTTGGCTGGGCCACACCGATGCTCTCAGCTGATGCATTCACCATAAGCTTTTCATTCTTTGACTAAGAAATTCGAAAAATGGGGATATGTAGTGACCGTTAGCACTCATACAAAACAAAATTAAATATTTGGAAAAAATTACGTAAATTCTCACAAGAAACTAAGGGACGACTTAGTGTCCGGTGCTAAGGGACATACATTTTCGTTCATTTTGTGGCACCTAATAAAATTGTTTAAAATATCTAATAATATTCTACCTTTCACTTGTATTTTGAAATGAAAAGATTTATACTCGCTTAAATAATACGTGTTAAATAGAGTGTCCGGCGCTAAGTGCGGTCCGGCGCTACGGGACTTTCCCCTATTTGTTATCATAGTAGATACATTAAAGAATATTACATTAAATTTTTGGCATTCTAGAAGTACCAGAACAATTTTTAAAAAATATTTGAATCTAAATATTCATCTTGATTTTATTTATTTATCATATTTATCAACTAACTGTTTTTGGCAACATGCCAATAGGCAAAAAGTCTTGTCATAGGTTATATATAAATACAATTATTATAATATATGTTATAAACAATATGCAAAGTATATTTTTATTGTTTATCAGAGCGTAATGTTGTATGTAATAATATTCGATGACTTTTCAATCAATCAATTTCCTGAATTTTTATTACAGCAACGTAAATATATATTTTTATATAATTCTATTTTGTTAAATAACTAAAATTATATAATTTTCCGTATTGGATAAAATATACTAAAATATTTCTGTTTTTTTGTTAATATTATTTTGTACTTTAATGTGTTTATTATAACGACAAATACTAAAACTAATGTTGACGAATTTAAATTAAAAAAAAAAATTGAAAAAAGAGATATGAAGCTCTAGTATATCTAATTTCATCTAGTATCAAAACTAGTAAGTTTTTTTTTCAAATTTTTTATTGAACAATTATTTTAGCAAAGTATGTGATTTTCCAATATTGATATTGCGTAACTAACCACTTGAAATTGAAGAGAATTCGGACACCGACGATCGTTGGTGGGACAGAAGACAGTATATTGAACGACTTATAACGGATAACACATGATGCTAATTTAGGTTTCTATATTTTAAATTTTGAATTATGATACACTGATGATGAAACAAACCTAGTCTCGAAACGTTTGTAAAAACTATTATTTAATGAATTAGTGCAAAAAGAGGGTTGTTTGTTCATATTTCCAAATTAATATATATATATATATATATATATATATATATATATATATATATTATCTAACATTATATAGTTTTTTTTGGTAAATATGCAAAATGCTAATTAAATTAAATCATACACAAATTAGCAACTTTCTAACGATTGCATCTTTTACTTAAAAATATTACTCGAGCAAATTTCGTAATCGTGTTGGTTCTTTCTATTATTATAATATAAATAAATAAATATATATATATATATATATATATATATATATATATATATATATATATATATATATATATATATATATACCAGAAATTGCCTATTATAACGAAATAATGCAAATTATAACTATATTAAATTTAATATTAAAGTATTTGCTATAAGTACTAATACAAAAATTGTCAACACCAAAAGTAAATATTACCCTCAGTGCACAAGAGTTGCTCCAGAATGCCAAAATTTTAATATGTTAGACTTTAATATATCTATTATTACGACAAA